TTGTTCTGGAGTATAGTTTTCATTTATATCTTCTATTTATCCCCTTCCTGTGCTTTATTACCTGTATTGTTATAATATAGAAGCTTCCACAAAAGCACTGCCTTGATCATCTAGATCTTTCAAATCTTTTATATTTTTTTCCAAAGCTACACTGAAAATTAGAATATTCCGTATTAGAAATGATACATAACAGCTTTTATGGTTGATATTATTTTAATGTTGTGTTCTGCTACATATTACATTAAAAAAAATGTCTCTCAGCTTACTATATGAATAATCCGGGTAGTATGGATTTGTTTATTGTTTTATTTTAAATGAAAGCTGTGAGCTTGTAACCACAGTAGAGAGTAATGTGTTGTATCTATATATTTTTGTAAGTTCTGGCCAGGATATCCAAGGAACAAGTGTCGTGGCAAATCTTCCAGTCCTGATGCGACAGAATCCTGCAGAAACACTTCGTCGGGTTTTACCAAAGATCAGAGTAAGTTGTGTGTAATGAGGTTTGACTCTGTCTTTTTCTGCCAGTATAAGCATTTCAACAGAGGCAAAACAATCCCACTTTTATTGCAAACTCACTAGGAGAGGTATGTCCAGTAGATCTTCCACATTAATTCACGGAATTTAAAAGGAATGCAGGTATTACATTTTTTGAAAAAATGTTACAACAGGAAAAGAACCAGAATTAACACCATTTACGTATTCTATGATTTACCAGTGTATTGACAGCTTTTTGAGAACTCTTTTGAGGCCCAGCCAGTCATAATGGTTCGTTTTGGTGTTCTTAATCTCCTTCCATCCAAACATTTAGATTTTCATGCTGCTATCCAGAAAAGTATACTTTGCTTTTAGCTGTCTGAAGTTTCATGTGCTGCCCTCCACATTGTTAGTAAGTCACTGCTAGCTGTGGTAGATGCATGCTGGCCATGTAATGTTATACAGTAATTTTGTACACAAATATGTTTGTATAAAGAATATTTGGGCTGTTTAATTTTAATGTCTGATCTCAAGGGTCTTTTCCAACCTAAACGATTCTATGATTCTGTGATTTAACTTGGAGAAGAGAAGGCTCCAGGGAGACCTTATTGTTGCCTTTCAATACTTAAAGAGGGCTTATAAAGAAAGATGGGGACAGACTTTTTAGCAGGACCTGTTGCAATAGGACGAGGGGTGCTGGTTTTAAACTAAAAGAGGAAAGATTTCGATTAGACATAAGGAAGAAATTGTTTACAGTGAGGGTGGTGAAACACTGGCCCAGGTTGCCCAGAGAGTTGGGAGACGCCCCATCCCTGGAAACATTCCAGGTCATGTTGGACGGGGCTCTGAGTGACCTGATCTAGTCGAAGATGTCCCTGCGCATTGCAGGTTGGACTAGATTGGTTGGACCTTTAAAGGTCTCTTCCAACCCAAACTATTCTATCATTCTGTGATTTTAAGGAAGATAAATATCTCTGTATTTCCACTCTGGCCCAGGTACTTCTTGCCTAGAAAAAGTGGGAAAAGTTCACTTAAGGTGTGGTTTAAAGAGCAGCTTCAGCCAAATAAGAACAAACTGCATCATAAATGCAAATGCAAAGCCTAACAACTCTAAAGCTAACTAACTCTAAATAACTCTTATAACTCTGTCTAAGGCTAAGACTTTGATTCTGTTAGCCTGCCTTTTTTCAGTGATTTTAAAGCCTACCAGCTGAGTGGAAAAATACATTGGTTTTGGCTAGCAAAGTATCTGAAAGTTTATTTTGGTAACAGCAAATTTTTGAAGGTTTTTTTCATTAGATCGGTGTATTGTCAGTCTCTACTGATGCCATTGACAGTTTTTATGGGTTTAACTCCAATTTGGATTTTGAACAATCTCTGGCCTGGTCTCATGCAGTTAATCATTTTGGTATAAACCCAGTTCTATTTTATACCAATTGTCAGCTGAAGGAACATTGTGTTTGTTAGTAGCTGTTTGGCTGTCATAGCTGTTTGAAAGTATGTGCTTTCTATGGGAAAAGAGGTAAAAATCACAAGGGTTTCTTGTAGAAATTTTATATTCCAAGCATTGAATTGTGTTCATAATTTTATGGACAGACTCAGTTTCTGCATACATTTTAAAGGTACATTTGACATTTTCGGTAGTGTGATTCAGTCATGATTTTACAGGGACATGTTGTAGAATTTAGGGTTTTTTTTCCCCATATAATTTAAAATTCTTTCATTTTTTAACACAATTTGTCATCAGGAATGTTATTATCTTGTTGCAAACAAGTAATGCTTAAGAAGAGTGTTTAGATCCCTTACTTCAGAACGACAGGAGTTTAACTAGTTACTGACTAAAGCAAAATATGAATTTGATACATTGAACTAAATTTGGTAATTTGACACATTGAACTAAAATACATTGGAGTGAAAGTGAGACTTATGTTGAGTCTCCTCAGCTACCTTGTCCTCTCTATCTCAAGCACTTTAGGGAAGAGAAGAAAAAGTCTTCTGTAGTAGCTGCTGTGAGTGTTCTTGCTACGTCTGTATCAGATTCTCATTGCCAGGCGTAAGAAAGTATATATTTATATTAGTGAGGTGAGACACCTGAGTATGGTGTTATACAGTTTTCTATCTACCGAGGAGATACTACTAAATAGCAAAGTGGGCCCTTGTGAAAATGATACTTGTTTGTTCCAGTAAATTCTCATTTATATTTCATTGTTTTCTTTGCTGAAGTTTTGAAGAAATGATTTGCTTCTTTTGTTGAAAAGCTGTGTGCATGTATGTATCTCTCAGCTATTTGTTTGGGGTTTTTTTTGTTTTGTTTTGTTTTTTACTTTTAAGACAGCTTCCTTAACATTACATTAATAAAAGAATTCCAGAAAAAAAATCATATTATGAAAAACTACTTGCTGTATTTCCTACTGCCTGTGGAATTGGTCCTAAACTGAATCCTCCCTGTGTCTCCTAATCTTAAGAAAGCGGCTGCTGAAGGGACAATTCAATATTTATGAAAAACTAATTTAATGAGTTATATTCTGTTTATTTGTTATGAATTGATTGACTGAAAGATGAGGAGCAAATATGTACATAGTCCTCAACGTGATTACTTAGCAAATATTGTTCTGTAGGATATTTAAATGCAAGCTCTACTGCAGAGGAGTCTTAGGTTCCATGTGATAGATGTACTCCGTAATATTCCATGCATCGGTATACGTTGGGGGCCACCTACCTGGAAAGCAGCTTTGCAGAAGCTGGTCCTGGTAGACACCAAGTTGAACATGAGCCTGCAATGTGCCCTTGCTGCCAAGCATCCTGGGCTGCATGAGACAAAACATGGCCAGCAGTTCAAGGAAGGTGATCCTTCCCCTCTATTCCACCTTCTACTCTACTCCACCTGGAGCACTGTGTCCCAGTTCTGGGCTCCCCTGTACAAGAGAGATATGGACATACTGAAGAGCATACAGTGAAGGGCCATGAAGAGGATTAAGGGACTGGGACATCTCTCCTATGAGGAAAGGGTGAGAGGGCTGAGCCTGTTCAGCCTGCAGAAGAGAAGACTTGGAGAGGACCTTATCAATGTATATAAACACCTGAAGGGAGGATGCAAAGAGGATGGAGCCAGGCTCTTTTCAGTGGTGCCCAGTGACAGTAGCAGAGGCGGTGAGCACAAACTGAAACACAAGAGGTTCCCTCTGAACATCAGGAAACACTTTTTCACTCTGAGGGTGAGCACTGGCACAGGGTGCCCAGAGAGGCTGTGGAGTCTCCATCCTTGGAGGGATTCAAAAGCTATCTGGACATGTTCTGGCTCTCGGTGGCCCTGCTTGAGCAGAGGGAGTGGACAAAAGGACCTCCAGAGGACCCTTCCAGCCTCAACCATTCTGTGATTCTGTGAATATCAGACATCACCTTTCAACTTCATATTATCTCCTGAGACTTCTGTGATCTCATGAGACTCTTATTTCTTAAGAGGAGCTGTTCCAACTTTTGTCTGATTATTTAAATTCAGCAAATGGCCAAGAAATAGCTGTCCTCGGAACTGAGGACTAGTATAGACTGACAGATTGTTTAGAAAACATTAAAGTACTTCTAAGTTGCCATGTTCTATGCTATAAGATGCAGGTCAACAGGCATTTTGTTTAAATATATATGTGTATAAAAAAATGCTTTGAGAAAAAGAATGGCTTGAAGTTGCAAAATAATTGAAAACCCTTTAACTTACACCACCAGTTACTACCACATGTTGTTCTGACATTCATAATACATTCTTTCCTAAACCAAACTACTGGTTTCAAAAAAAGTTTGGTTTTTTTTTTTTTATTTTCTGTTTAGTATACCAAAACCATTTTTTTCTCTGGTGTTTCTGCTTTGAGAGCAGAGTTCTTCCTGAAAGGAAGGAGTAATAAGAAACGTCGGGTTTGGGTTTTTTTTTCCCCTTATTTGTCAGGGAATGGAGAGGTGGTAGTCTTTGCCTCTCTGTCTTTAATAAAAAGTCTAATATAGAAATACAGTCTTTGATCCTAGTCTTAGTTATTTTTTATATAAGGATGGAGAAAAAATTTAAAAGGATGATCATTAGCATGATCAGGGCCTAGGGCCTGGAAAATATATGTAGAGTGGGAGTTGGAGCTCAGTGTGTTTAGATCAGGTGGTACTTAGTTATTACTTTATAAATGCATCTTCCTGCATAGTATTAAAGGACATTTAACTGAAAACTGTGTATGAAGGAAGAAGAGATAGGAACTGAAGACAGAAATACTAGAAATGAAGCGGACAGTTTTAATAATGAATCCGGTCAATCTTTGAGCAAAAAACTGAGGAAAGTAGTTTTTCATCTTGCAGTGTCATTTAAATCAAGACTGAATGACTTTTTAGATGACAAATTAAATGAAACTTAAGTTAATGGGCTCAAGGCAGAGGTAAAAGCATGAAATACAGTGAGGTCAGTCTAAATTTAAGTGTTCCTTTCAGGTTTAAATCTAATAAATTAAAACTTTCTGGAATGTATATGAATTAAATTTCTTTCTGTGGCTGTACTCTTATAAAGCAGGTTCTTGAATGGTGCTCTGTTATCTAATATTTATTTATTTAGTAATAGAAGAACAGTTCTTTTGTACCCATATTCACTGCACTTTTAACTGAAAAACAGTATTTGGCATCATTAATGGCTTGACCTATTTTTTTTTTTTTTTTCTTATCCTTATTTGTATTGGAGGAATAGTCCTGACCATTAAATGGAAACTGTTTCAGACTGTAAAGGCATAATCAAACTCAACTGTGATTAGAGTCTTGCAAATGTAGTCTGGCATTGCAGGGAAATAAGCTGACTTAAATTACTGCACTTGGTTTCACTTCTGTAGATGAGGAAAAATCATTTGTGAATTCAAATTTGCACATGAAAAATTAGTTGTGTAGTAGTTTCAGGATGCTATTTAACTGAAAGTATTGTCACTGGTTAGGGAAACCAGTGTACTTATTTAGCATACTTGCAAGAACCCAAAAGCGAAAAAAAATTCCGTTTTATTAGTGCTGATTAAAACAGATACAGGAAGAAATAAATGCAAAGAATGTTCTGGCTGGATACATTACAAAATTTTATTTCATTTGTGAGAAATTGATAAACCTGGTTACTTTTACAAATAAATATAGAAATGGATATATGCAAATTGCTTAAAATTAGAATTATATCTAAGACCCTGTATATATTTAACATAAGTGTTTCAGGTTTGACCAAAAATACAATATATCAATAAATATGCGAGATCTAAGTAATAATTAAATTGGGTGTTCGTATTTTGGTTATGCTAATAAAACAAATACGTTGTATATCATTTAGATGTTAATTTAGGCATGAAATTATGAAATATTTTTAAAAATTCCACAGTTGAAATGAAGTGGCATCCTTGTATGGGTTCTTTTGCATAGAGAACCCCACTCTCTGGATTTCTACATACACCTCCCTCATGAACCTTGGAAGTCATTGAAATGCAGATAGATGTAGGGAA